CCCCCCCCCCCCCCCCACAGTATCATTCCACTGCTCTGTATTCATCCATGTATCATCTGGAGATGGAAAATGAGCCCGTTACAAGCTGCAATTCCATAAAGACGCGTCATGTCTCTTCATCATACTAACATTGCCCATGGCTTCATGTAAAATTGCATAAATTGTAAATAGGCAACTATAAGGGTATGATAAGAAAGAATGAAAATTATACAATTGATAAACAGAACTAATTTCCATTTGTGGGGAGGGTGCAGAAATAAAGGAGCGGGAAGAAAAATGACATTGAATTGCGTAATTAAAGGACTAGAACAATCGCAGCATATTATTTTGTAGATGACACTACATGTCTCTTACAAGGTCTGATTTATCGGAGCAGCATGACTGGCTCAATGGCGTTGCTATTCATCTTTGCCACGTAAGCTATTGAAAAATTCGTTCACTAGGTAACCAAAGATCACGCTGGGATGACATGACTATATAATCGCTGGCACAGAGTTGAAATCTTCCTGTAACCTCCAACGTTGACGCAGACGACAGGAGCACGGATTTGTTCATAGGGCAGACTTTGTGTAAGAAGGGGCTGTCATCTGTAGTTCTTCATGCCAACTAAACGTGTCACCAGATTTTGCGTATTAAACATTTGAACGTCAGTGCATTAGTACGGTGGACAATTCGAATGAATGGACAGTGTGCTTAATTTTGGATATAAATAACGTACGTGAAAAACCCAGCGTAGGTATAAAATGCTAGGATTTGTGTGTTGATATATAAAGTGTAAAAAATGTTTAATACACTGTAGAGGTAGTAGGCCTAGTTTATCTTAAGGTCATTAATCTCAACCGCAGGTGCGTGTGTGTGTCTAAAAGTGAATAGAACATACCTAAACTCGAACTCAGATGCTAATCAATGAAAAGTCGGTGCTTGAAGATCTTCTAGTTTCTTCCTGCTTCTGCCGCACATCACTAAATTGGTTCGGTAAGTACTCCATGTGAAAATCCGACCGCATCTTATAGACCAATTTTATAACACTACGTAACAAAGCGTTCTATGTAAAACGAAATCCAAAGTACAACATTTATAACCTTAGGTGACATCAAAAGAACAAGACAAGCGAATTTTTTAAAAGTTTTTATTTGATAGGAAGAACTTGCAGAACAGTTTACAGCAAAGGCTAAAAATGTCCATCACCTCGAAGACAAGCGCCTACTGAGATTTTCTTAGCAGTCGGTGTATTATTCGGAACTTCCTTGTCAGGAAACGCATTGTTAACTGCTTCACGAACTGAACATACGATTTCGATGCGAGGTTATGTTCGAAAATGAACACGTTCTGCTCCTAAATACGCCATGCTCGTGGCTCCGTTAACTGGAATAAGCAGCGGCCTTGACAGTCAGAGTGACCATGACTCAATGCGAAAGGGAAGTTGGGAGAGTCTATTACACGGAAATGGACTAATTTTATTTTTGTTGTAAAAATTATGTTCGTTGCTTGTTTTACCGGTTCCTAGAAGGGGTTTAAATCCATTAATAGAAAATCTGTCTTCATATGGAGTTATTATTTACCATCCTTAAACCAAAAAGAGGTGCAGCCTCATTTTATGTATGATTTCAAAAAGTGATAGAAGGTTGAAGTTGAAGCAACTGCGACGATGGTACTGGGTCGCATACACCACATGAATACAAGTAATTTTTCGTTCAATGGATCAACACTTTCATTCATTAGTACATGACTGCTGTTGGGTTACTTTTTAAATGGTACATACTGTACATCTGTGTTTGTATTGTATACGTATTATGGCACCTGTAGATGTAGAGTTTTGAGAGACGTTGTTTTTACAGAATAGGCCAGAGGAAAAAGGCTGAAGAAAGAACTTGGTGAAACATAGCAGTTTATTTGATACTGATTTTACTGCAGACCTGCTTAACAAACGGGAGAAAGTCGGGTAATTTTACGCTTTACAAAATTTGGTTTCATTCAATATTCTTGAAGTATTTTTTTAGCCGAGTGCTTCTGATCCTCATGTCATGTGTTTTCCTTGATCCAGTCTAGAAAATAATAAACATTTGTGTAGATGCCGGGGTATCCAACTTTTCCGCACCCAAATCCGAATGAAACAATTCCTGTGAAAGCAATACAACACATTTAAGTATTTGCCGAATCTGACGACGCCATATGGGGGAATATGTTAATACACGTAATTCATAAATAGAGACACAAATTTTCGAAAAAAAAGTTTTTTTAGTTCATTAGATTATACAGCCGGGACCTTTTTCTTTATTGAGGTATCACTTTCTGTTAATGATTTGTGTGCTTACAGGATATGAACATGATGCTTCTCTTGAATAATTACATGTGATTTCTTTGCTTCCATACGATGAATAGGAATCTAGTAAGAGTAAACACAAATGTGTTCATAAAGAATTAAAAATTTGGATGAATATGCTACTTTATTTAAAGAATTTGCAGCTGACGTTTCTAAATTGCATGGACATTTTAAGATGTTTCAGGTTTTATTTAATATTTTACGTAAGATGGAGGATGGTTAGGATTTTTCATTGTTCTTAATGTATACAATGAAACAGCGAGTGTAATTCACAATTTCATAGCATTCTTCAGAAACTTTCTACACTTTTGTACGCATGTTGCAAGGCGGATGCGTTTTTATCATCTAGCGGATTTTGTCTGTGGTTGTCCATTCTAACAACCTTCATTTTTGACTAATGGTCGCAAGTGATCTATTCCTTCTCTGTGTCATGCGTGTTACGTGCCATGTACATGCCATTATCCTCGACTTGATTACCATAATATCTGGGAAAATTCCCTGATTTTGTAAGGTCTGTTACTAGCATCATAGTATATAATGTTACTAAGTTTGAACATAGGGAATTGTATTATGATAACAGAATCACTCATAGTCAGCGACGGTCATGCTGTTTTGGTGTTTCTGCACTATGTCACGAAAATGCATTTGACGTGACGCAAGGAAAGAGTAAATACCTGTTAGAACGAACATTCCGTTGTCTACTACTTGGAGTGGTCCACCGCTGTCACCCTGCAGAACAATATCAGTGTCAGACAAAATTGTTATTCCTCGTAAGAGAGTAAACTTTTATACGGCCAGTCTTAGTTTAAAAAATATCAGTTAAAACAATTTACTTTTATTATACGCTCATTCTGTCTAATATATGTATCAAGCAGGGCTGTACTAAAATCTCCAAATCCAGCTCTGACTCCCTCATAAAAGCCGAATATGTATTAATAAGAGTAAACCTACTAAAATGGTAAATGGCACCATGAGAGATTTCATCACCACCACGTGAATCATCAGGCTACTGTTTAGACTTATAACCCATATTTAAATATACGTCTAATGGTTATTGCAGAAATCATTTGATTTGTAGACAGTCCTAAGTTACCGGAGCCAAAGTTACAAAGCATTATTCCCACACCATGTGGCTCAACGCGTAGTTGAATCATCCTAAGCGTAAGGCCGCCGGCGGCACACGGTATAGAAAGTGTCCTTAAGATTTTATATCGAGGTCGGAGTCGGAGTCGGTACATTTTTACCGATTCCGATTCCACAGCCTTGGTATCAAGTACTACGAGGCGCGTCCCAAAAGTAAGTTTCCCACTCGTCCCACAGCTAGCAAACCTTATATTGAGCGAAGCGACTGTGCGTACGTGATAGAGCAATGACGTAGCATGGCGCATGCACTAACGGTACTTCCCGCGTTCTCACAGTAGCATCGTTGCAGCTGTTGAAGATGGAGGTTCTTATTCCAGCTCCCGCCGACTGTGAAGTGCGGTCAGTGATAAAGTTTTTGAATGCACAGAGCATAGCGCCGATCGAAATTCATCGTCAGCTGTGCCGGGTCTATGGGCCTAACGTCATGAGCAAGCAGATGGTGCGTCGCTGGTGCAGACAATTTTCAGC